ATTTTCCAACCAGACGATGGCCCTTGCCACACGGCGAGGTCAGTTAAAGCCTGGATGGAGAACCAGAACACTGGAACCAGGCCTTGGCCTGCTCAGTCACCAGATCTACATCCAACTGAAAACCTGTGGAAAACCATCAAACGCTAAATGGAGAAGCACCAAGCCCTAAAACAAAGCACATGAGTTAGAATGTGTGCAACAGGAATGGGCTGCTGTGACGGCAGAACCATGTCAGAAGCTGGTGGAGAGCAGCTGAGACGCATGGCTGCAGTCTTGGCTGCCATAGCTACTGATGGAGGAGCTTAGTGGTTATTATCAAGAAAACCTGGAACATGTCTGATATCAGCTCTGAAGCTAAACTCTGATGAGCTGTTTGTGTTGTTTTCATTATATTTGTCCAAACAAATGGACCTTTAGTGGTACCAGGCATTAGAATGAACAGGAAATTGAAGAAAACAAGGTGGTCTGATCATTATTGACTATATTATGTATATATGACTGTATTATCTGTTGCTGCTGCTTGTCTGGTTGTGGTAACAGCTGACTGTACACTGACTGAACTGTCTTACAGCAACTCACCACCCAAGCGAAGCCTCGGTAAACCAGCTCTTTCCAAAGTCCCCTTCCTCGAGATAGTCAACGGAGACTCAGATTACACTGGTACTTTTTTTCTGCTTTTACTCTCTTAAGTTCCAGTTAAACCGAAATGTGTTTCTGTCCTGTTTATTTTCTTCTCGTTCGTAAAATGATTTGAGTGTCTGCTGTTGTTTTGGAGGCATCGGCGGCCAAACATCTGAGGATGAGACGGAGCTGGAGTCTCTGGACCTGGTGTGGGCCAAGTGCAGGGGATACCCCTCCTATCCTGCTCTGGTAATTACTAATTTTACCTGAATTTACAATCCGATGTGAGCTGTCAGCAGATGGTGGAGCTCTGAATTCCCTGCCGGACTGTGTTTCAGATCATTGACCCTGAGATGCCTGAGGAGGGTCTGCTGCACAACGGCGTGCCCATCCCTGTCCCGCCCAAAGATGTGCTCCGTCTGGGGGAGCAGAGGCAGGAGGAGACCCATGAGAGGCTCTACCTGGTGCTGTTCTTCGACAACAAGCGGACATGGTGAGTTTCAGACGCACTCACATGTTATGCAGGACTCCTCACCAGAGGTCAGAGGTCAGCTGCAGACTCAGCTTTGACCCAAGCAGGTGTTTTGGTTAAAAACAGTCCAGGAAATCCTCAAAGCTGTTCAAACTAACGCCCTAAAAATAAATGTGGCACTAGTCTGTTGTGTAATAAAAAGGCAAATATGCATACTTTTGTGAATAAAAGTTTACATATAACAGTTTTATGTGGAACCATACCATGTAAACATTAACATGATGCGGTTCCTTATGTTCAAAGGCTCTAACAATGTAAATGTGTGTTGGTGTTGTAGGCAGTGGCTTCCCCGTGACAAGGTGACGCCCTTAGGTGTGGATGACACGGCTGACAAGCTGCGAATAATGGAGGGCCGCAAGTCCAGCATCCGCAAGTCTGTCCAGGTGGCGTACGACCGCGCCATGATCCACCAGAGCAGAGTCAGCCACAGCCACGGCTTCGTGGCCTCCAACTACCTGTAGAGGGAAACTGTGAGCCCTGTGTGCACCCACAGGCAGCCACTATGCATTTCTCTTCGGTCTTAAAGCAGCAGGTGGACTGAGTCCTGCTGCCGGTTGAATTTAAATTCACACTGTGGTCTGAAGAGGTTCCAAGTCCTGGACCTCAGTTCATTACCAAACCACTAGTGTGTGACACATTGAGCAGCAGCGCTCGCTTTTTTGTCGTTGCCGAGGATGTGGAAGTCCAGATTGTGAATGAAGTTACCTTTAGGTCCCTTGTTGCTGCAGTCAGGAAGCGTTAATCCCCCGTTCAGGGATGTGTGACGGAGGCTGAATGTGTTGAAGCTGTGTGTCTGGATCGGATGTAAAAGAATTCCCCTCTATTTTATACGATGCTACTGCCAAGGAATCAAACTGTCAGACAAGAGATTTGACATATTTATATGAACCGCAGAAGACTAATGAATGGATCACTGCCATCTTTTATACAATAGCTTTTTACATTTTAATCTTTTACAAAGACACTTGTATATTATAAAGGCACACTTTGTGTACATATGTATGTGTAATATCAAACTCAATTTAATTTAATGTTGCTGTTTTAAAAAGCGTATTTCAATCAACCCACGAGGGGCAAAGCGAGGCTGTGTATATTTGTGGAGACGGTTCCACTTGCTGCAGTGTACTTAGCTTGTCTTAGATGTAATTTCATCGTGCTGTGTGTGCGCGTATGTGTGTGTGTGTGTGTGTGTGTGTGTGTGTACATTCTAAGCATACGACACATTGAGCCGTTGTTCTTTATATTTGAATTCTCTTTTTGATACAGAGAGAAATAATTTATTTATGAAAGACAGAATTATAGAAATAAAGCTATATTGGTTAACGTTGAGAATTAAATTGTATTTAAAACTAAGTGGAGTAAGGTTTTAAAAACATGCAGCCGACATTTTAACAGTCACACGTTTGGTTTATGTTTATTATTTTACTCGAGTCCAATTGCCACCATTTACTGTTGACCCCCCTCCCCCCAGAGAATTCTATTTATTATCGAGAGCCCAATTTATCGAATGGAAAGATACACCTTCATAAGCTTGTACTACCTGCATATTTTACCTGCTCACCAAATATTTTGTCTGTAACCAGTATTTTCTCATTCTGAGAAATAAATGCTCTATTAAAAAGTATTTGGCATTCTTCTTCTTTTTCTATTATTAGGGTCCGAGCACCCAAAAGGGTGCGAAGACCCTATTGGAACTGCTCGGATTATTATTATTATTCGTGCCAAAGACACGCGTTTTTGAGGCCCTAAACATACTCGAAAACTCACCAAA